TAATAGAAGAGCTGGAGCTTGTTTCTGGGATGTCTAATTGAGCAAGCTTGATTCCAGACAGGAATTTGTAAGTACAAGCAACTGAGAACTGACCTTTCAAATCCAGACCCCAATATAGTCTGTCTGGCCTGCCTGGGTGAAGAGAGGAAATATTGAGAATGGCCTCACTGTCTGTATGATCAAATACCTGCCTAACTAGCCAGTCATTCCAAGAAGTGCCATTGGTCTGAATAAGATCTTTAACCCAGATGAGGTGATCCCTTGCTATAGGGATAAGTGTAGGAGATGGCTTCTGCAAAGTTGGCACCCAGTTGAAGTCCTCAATTTTTGTGGCTACTCCATCTCTGACTTCAGTTTTCAGCTATTTGGAAAAGAAAGGGATAACCTCCATCCAACAGTTCCACATCCAGGACCCTTTTGAGGTTTTGGTTGTATGTGTGATTGCTGAATGTGGGAAATATCTGTCCTTCAGGAGTCTACTAACCAGGAGTTCAGGGTGGGAAGCTATTCTCCACAGCTGCTTGCATATTAAAGCCTGATTCAACACTTGCAGGTCCAAAAAGCCAAGTCCTCCATCTTTCTTGGGTAGAGATAGAAGGCACCACTTCTTCCAATGAACACCTTTGGTTTGCTGGTCACCAGACTGCCACCAAAACTTAGCACAGAGTTGAGATATTTCAGAGCAGAAGCTTGAAGCATGACATGGAGACAATAGGCAAAGCTTGGATAATTGCTTTAATGAGTACTTCCTTTCCTGCAGGACTGAGAAGTTTAGGTTTCCAATTCTGAAGTTTGCTTCTGACTGATGTCAATAGGTATTCAAATACTTCCTTTTTTGATTTGCCTATGCCAAGTGGTAAGCCCAGATACCTAGTTGATCTGTGGGAGACTATGCCATTTGCATAGCAGATGGACTGTTGGAGTAGTTGGGGAGTATTCCTGCTGAAGAAGATGGCAGATTTATTCATGTTTACAGCTTGTCCTGTAAATAGTCTGTATTTCTCAAGAATTGTCATTAGAACTGCAGCCTGATCCACACCTGCTTTGCAGAAGAAAATGGAGTCATCTGCAAACAGCAGGTGAGAAAGAAGAGGTCCATTCTTGGAAAGTCTGAGCCCTTGAGGTGACCAGAGTTAACAGCTTGCAGAATCAGGGCTGTGAGAAGTTCAGCCACAATTATGAACAGGTAAGGGGATAGTGGGTCCCCTTGTCTAATGCCTCTGGAAGGTTGCACATATCCACTAACTGAGTCATTAATCTTAAAAGAGAAAGAAGCAGTGGAAATGCATATCATGATTAACTTGACAAAATCCCTGTGAAAACCCATCTGAAGCATGATTTTTTGCACACTCATCCATTCTACCCTGTCAAATGCTTTTATCAAATCAAGTTTGAGGGCCATGAAGTAGTTTGGACCAGAGGAGTGTCTATTCAAGAAGTGAAATGCCTCCTGAGCTATTATAACATTGTCCATAAGCTGCCTTCCCTCAATGAAAGCAGACTGATGATCACTTATGCAGGAGGATAAACATACTTTCAATCTCTGGGCCAATACCTTTGAAATGACTTTATAAATTACAGTACAAAGACTGATTGGTCTGAATTGGCTAAGAGAGTCTGGGTTGGGGCTTTTTGGAATTAATGAAAGAATGGTGTGATTCTAGTATTTAAGAATCATACCTGAGTGAAAGAAGCTGATGATAGCAGCCAGAAGATCAGGTTTAACCATTTCCCAAAAGTGCTGGTAAAAAAATGAGCTCATCCCTTCTTCACCAGAAGCCTTATCTGCAGGCATTTTGAATAACGCTGATTTGAATTCCTCTTCTGTGACTGGTTTCAAGAGAGCAGTGTTCATATCAGTTGTTATGGATTGAGGAATCAGGTGAAGGATAGAGTCTCCACCCCAGCTGCCTTGTGATAAGAAAAGGTTGGAGTAAAAGTCTGAAATGTGCTGCTCAATATCCTTCTGATTGGTCAAGATGGTACCATGAGATGATGTGAGCCTGGTAATTGCGTTCTGCTTTCTTCTTTAAAGTGTGAATGCATGGAAGAACCTGGTGTTTGCATCTCCTTCCTTTAGCCACCTTTGCCTGGATTTTTGCTGCCAGAACAGGTGTAGGTGAGCTTTGTTGAGAGCCTTTCTTGTGAATTCCCAGCAATCCCATTTGTCACCAGATTTATCTTCATTCAGGGCTTCCAACTTCTGAGTTAGTTCAGTTATAAGTTCTTGGTTCTGAGATTGGAAGGAAGAACTCCATTTCAGCAGAGCAAGCCTTGTGTTTTTTATTTTCTCTTTAAGTTTGAAGAAAGGTGTTCTTGTGACTGGAGTGAGCCAAGCTTGCTTAACAGTATCCTCAAACCCCTCCTTGCCAACCCATCTTTTGTCAAAGTTGAACCTGACTTGTTTCCTTTCTGATGGCAGACCAATGTTAAGAATGAGGGCTGAGTGATCTGAAGAGCTTCTCAATACATTAATCACTGAAGCATTTGGATAGTTTTGGTGCCAATCCAGAGAGCCAAAGGCTCTATCCAATTGCTCTTTCACCAATTCAGCAGGAGCTCTGTTGTTACTCCTATGTGAAAGGGTACCCTTGTAGTCTGATTTCCTCCATATCCATGCTATCAATGAAGGAGTTGAAAGGTATAAAACTGGCTAGGCTTCTTAGTATACCTCTTTTTTTATCAGAGCTCTTGCAAATATCGTTCCAATCACCAATAGCAAACCAGCAATTACCCCTAGAAGCCTTTTCTTGAATTAAGACTTCCATTGAGAAATTCTGGTAATCCTGCAGGGGCTTAGGTACACAAAAAGGCCCCACTGGGGGTTGCAAGAAGGAAGAGAGAATTGAACAGCAAAATAGAATTCTTTACAAATAATCTGATGAATAACAATAGTAGAATCCCAAAATAAAGCTAAACCTCCACTGAGACAGTGGTGTAACGCCTTGCCAAAAATCAGAATAAATTTGTCAAATTTATTTTCAAACACCTGAGGCGCTACTCATTTTTAAAACAAACTTCAACACTTGTCCAATTTCTCAATATTAAATCAATCATTAAACTCAATCATCAATCATCAATAATTCAATCATCAATATTACTAACTCCCAAAACGGGTTTTTCCAAAATGCATAATTCACCCAAACCGGGTCCCAACAATATTCATAAGTTTTAAGGAGCATCTCCTTAACATTATTCAATCATAAATCCGGAATTCATAAAACAATAGTATTCCAAGTTCATAATTATAAAAACAGTTTCATAAATGCGGAAGCATAAACAATAATAGGATCAGTCTTAAAGACCGACCACCACTCGCCTAACTCCGCCGTCGCACCTGTCTCGCTTAACCTGAAACGTGAATTTCAGGTGGGGATGAGCACAGTTGGAAAAAGTAGTGCTCACCACTATGCAGTAAACATTATTCACAATAATAAAACAGTGATCAATAATCAATAAGGTATGGTCGCAGCATGTATACGAAACAATCAAATATCTCAATCTCCTATCAATCATATCAATAATAGACTCATGTGCACACCTACGTATAGACTACTGCCGACTATATATCGAAAGCCCACCGGTCTTACATCGCGTGTCCAGCCAGTAGGAGTAACCCGCCAGCCAAGGCCTCACCTTGGTCTTACCAACGGGGTTGTCCAGCACAGGGACCTTTAACCCAGGTCTTACGGCTCAAAATGTGTCCAGCACAGGGACCTTTAACCCAGGTCTAACGGCTCACAATAATAAGGAGACTACCCAACGGGTACGTTCTATAGCTACGTGGATAACCGTTCGATGGTCGGTACAGCTCACATCGAAGGCTACATGGTTCACATGCATACATTGATCATACCATAATTAAAACAATAATAACATTTACAGCATAGACGATTTTCCCTTTTCCCTTCTCGAGGAGAGGTCAATTACATCGAGCCAACCACTGTCCTTAGTCTCCCTGCCTCTGACCTCACTATATCGATATCCGAAGAATAGACTTCCCATTTTTTTTTTTGTTTTTTGGAATCAACTAATTGGTCTTTTTCATATGAATGCCGTTTGCTTAAAATTTCCTTGTTAGCTATATGACACTCTTTCTTTTTGCTTTCTTCCTTCACTTCGATCTCTGCCACTCTCGCCTGTCGGAGATAGCCTGGTCTTTTAAAGTATACGATTACACACTTGGCGGCCAATCCTGTGTTCCATGCCCGCTCTATTAGGATGGTGTCTTTGTCCTTGATTCCGTAGCTTACGAGGGAGGAGTCAACTCAACTTCGCCTTTCCTCTCCCTTTCTCTATGACTACTTATGACTTCACTGCGCTTCGCTTCGTTCGTTGGGGAGAGGTATCGTAACCCATTCCCCAGATGGGGAACGTAAGCCAAGCCTGGTAGCATTGTGTAAAACAATTGTGAGGATTAGGGTGGACTTCGAACCTATCCACGGGGTAATCTCGAACATCAATGTCATTTGCTAGAGCGTGCAGGTAGAGCGTGGAGGGAGAGCGTGCTAGTACACACACGGTTCTATTGGCTCCTAAACCAGCCTATATGACTACAAGGCGAACCCAATAGTGAAATCCTGCAAATAAAGCAAAAACGGCTCCCATAGAAAGTACATAATGGAAATGACACCCGGAAAGCCCACGATCTCCAATCTTTCTCGGATGAAATCCCATCAAAGATAGTCATAGGCCTTTTCCAGATCCACCTTAGGGTCGATGTAATTGAGTCGCTCTTACAGAGCTCGATTAGACAAAACAAGACCTGGGTTGACATCCACGAGGCAATTCAAGTAAACAAGAGGGTTGGCCACTCGGATATAATGAAATTCTTTGATTGGTTCTTTCCATAAAACAAGTGAATGATTCACTTTTTTGATTTATCTGATCAGGCGAAACGAAAAAACAATGAATTCTAACAAATTTCAATTTCAAAAAAAAATAAAAAATGATGGCTTCTTTTATTCGTATTCGAAACGCCTCGTGATCTTCAACCAATTATGTGCTTCAATATAATTACCAGGAGTAAGCGCTATAGCCTCTTTCCAATACTCAGCGGCTTGATCAAACCAAGCTTCCGCAATTTCAGAATCTCCCTGGCGAATGGCCTGTTCTCCCCGGTTGGAATAGGCCGATTAATTCCTTCCCTTAGAACCGTACTTGAGGGTTTCCTACCTCATACGGCTCATCAATTCTTTTGGTGTCCGTATCTCTAAAAAATGGGATTTCGCATGAATAACAAACCCACCTGGTCAGTCGAGATAGACAGATACACAATGATCAGTAGAAGGTAGACAGAAGGCTCGACTCCTCGTTAATCTACAGTTAATAATTTTTATGTTATTATTATTGGTAGCGACAAACAAGCAAATAAGACGGGCAAAACATTCAGGCAAACAAGAACAAGCAAGGAAAATTAAACAAATAAAGCCGCAACTCAAACTTATAAAATACACATATTAGCGACACAATGACACCTAGAAATTTCAGCATGGAAGTAATCAAATAAGACACCCAAAATACATAGCAATATAGCCTTCCATCTCTCTTTTTTTTCTTTCTTTTTTCTTTTATTTATTAAAGAACCAAACCATGAAATCCATTTATTCCATAACTGAAACATAAGCATGTCAGACCACTCCTCTTTATTAAATAAAGACTTTGAACTTAAAGGCAGCACATACAAATATATGAACACGAGGCTCAACCAGCTTACTCAAAATAAAGCAAAGAGGCACACGAATCACAATTCTTTTTCCTTCAATTTAAAAGCAATCCAACTTAACTAAACTAAACTGAAAATATGATCCAATATCCACACATACTCAGTTACAGAATGTACCTCAAGGCACGAATATATATTAGACAACAGAAGTTTCAAAACAACACACAAACATATCGACAAATAAAACCACAAATCAACATGCTTTATTATCTCTACATAGCTCAGCAAACACCTGCTCAATCCAATATAAAGAACAAGGCCATATCACAATTCGAAGATGCACCTGGTTCTTTCAAATTTCACATACTCAATCACACATGCTTCCAACACATAAGTACATGCCAAATGCTACGAATTAACACCAACAACCAAGGCACAGAACACAATAACTCAGACCATAAACAAAACTACAAGGGTTCAACCACTTGAACATAACAGGCCTCAACATATTCAAACAAACTCAATGATCACAACAAGCTTTTTAACTTCTCACTAAGACTGAACTTTAACACAACAAAGCACAATAATCTCAACCAAGAATGAGGTAAAAAGGTACAGCCAATATACCTCTCTCGATGAGTTCACGGACCGACAACCGCTCGAGCAAAAGACGAATGGAGGACGACGACTCAACCCCACCAAAGTGCTCGTCCCTGCTGTTCGCGAGTCGTCGACAGCCCGTTGCCGGACGACGGGCTGCTGCTGCTCGGAAAAGAAGCCGACGGGGAGATGGCTGCTCGAAGTCGACGGCGAAACCCGTCGGAACGGGCCGTCTCTGTTCGCTGAAAGGAGCTGCTTTGCCGCTGATTCGAGGTCTCGGGTTGCTCGATAAAGCCTCAAACGACTGCCGCTATTCTCACACGGGACCCGTAAGGGCTGCCGCTGCTGTTCGGGCCCTAGACGAAGGCCGACGGGGTGCCGCTGCTATGCTTGAAGGTCGCCTGGCTGAGAACGACTGCTCAACGAGAACTTAGCTGCCACCGACGACGGCGGAACTCACCAGTCAAAGACTGCTGCTCGTAGGTAAAGGGCCGACAAGGTTCTGCTGCTATTTCTCTTCTCCAGCAGACGTACGAACTGCCGACGTGAGGGACGAAGGACCGTTGTTTCTCAGAGTGAAACGGCTTCTCGTGGTCTCCTCTCGACTTGAACCGACGACGACAAACGAAGGGCCACCTGTTGTTCGTGAGAAAGAGATGCGCGGCTGAGGAGAGAAGCTCGTTACGGATTTGTTCGCAGCTGTGGAACAGAATTTCTCGGCGAACAGGGGTTCCTCGCGGACGGCTCGTGTGACAACGATGAGGATGCGGTGGTTGACGGGTGCTGCGATTTATGCCGGCGAAGTGAGGGAGAAAACGAGATTTTCCAATCAAGCGAAGAGGAAGAAGATGTGATGGCGTATGATAAAAGGGGTAAAATTTAGGGTTGATGAAGGGATTAACTGGTTAAACAAAATGGGCTGAAAACCAGTGTTTTAAAAATCGCTAGGCGGACGCTAGGCGCTCGACGAGCGCCTAGCACCTAGGGCGCCTAGTCGGGGTCTAGGCGGCGCCTAGTCGGGACCCAGAAATCAATATTCAATATCTTATTTTTTATTTATTTTAATTACCTATAAAATAAAACTATCTCAATTTATAATAAATTCACACATCAAAGTCCAAATAATAGTATTAATATATATTAAAGAAAACATGAAAACAAAATAATATAATTAATATTAAAAAAAATAAAAAATATATATAAAAAAAACTGAAAAATTGTCGTCGAGCCCGCCTAGGAGCGCCTAGGTCCGCCTACGCGAGCCCGCCGAGCCCGCCTAGGAGCGCCTAGGGCCGCCAAGGCCCGCCTAGGCGCCGCCTAGCCGCCTGGCCGATTTTTTCTGTCGATTTGTACAAATCGGAGACGCCCGGGCACCGCCTAGCGCCTAGGCACCGCCTAGCGCCTAGGCGCCGCCTAGGCCGACTTTTAGAACAGTGCTGAAAACTTGACTTAAAAGGTCCTTAATAATGGGTCAATTGGACCGACATTTTATGAGCTTGAAAGGGCCAAATAAGAATATTACACAAAATGGTTAAATTATTCAAGGCTTAATAGGGTTGTTTTACAAGGGTCCAAATAGACCGAAGTGAACATTAAAGGGTCGCGAATAAAAGTATTCGAGGTTCGGGTCGAAACGGCTCGAAAACGAATCGAAACGGATTTAAATTCAGTTTACGCAATTAAACCGAAAAATCGCAGAAACAATTTAAAATCCTAATCAAATAAATCCTAATAATTCTAACACATATAAATAATAACTATAACACGTAACAATGATATATATTAGTCACATAGCAAATAAATAATAGGCGAATAAATTAGACGAGCAATTAATAAACGATAATCGAGTAAATAATATAAAATAAAAGAATAAATCAAATAAAATGCCAATAAACAATAATATAATATTCAGAAAATTCTAATAAACGAAAGGGCATTACAAGTGGAATCAATAATAGAAACTCTATCTGCATAACCTAACTTAGAACTTATAGATCTTACAAATGATTTTTGTTTTTTGGTCTCAGAAATGAAGAAAAAATGTGGGTGATGAACTTTAATCAGCTCTCGCATTTGGAAAATTGTAGAGGCCCCACCCAACCCTCTACAATTCCACACCACAGCTAACATTTGTCATGGTGGTGCCATTCTAGGCTGGCAACCCCCACCTTCTCTATTGGTAACTTGCTCTTCTTAGGTGCTGACTGGTTCAAGGTGTTATGTTGTTGAGAGATTGATAGGTCCTCTTGAGTGTCTCTGGGTCTTTTTCCTTTTGCTCCTTGCTCTATGACAATGGCTGTGTGTGGTTCTCTGGATAGTCTTCCATCTGTGTTCCTGTTTCTTTTTCAGGTTTTCAAAACTTGGGAAGTGTGAGAGGTCAGTGGTTCACTGATCTTGAGGACTGGTGTTGTTGTGTGATGTCTCAGATCAACATCCATTGCCTTGCCAGATTCTATGATTTGTAATGTAGCTCCCTTCAGTTTTTCCTGAGGTTTAGAAGGATGTGATGCTGATGCAGAAGCAACTGAGTCATGATCTCTGTTATCTGCCTTGGAGGTTGGTGTTTCTGGAATGGGAATTAGTTTCTGACTGGTATCAGCTTGTTGAGATCGGTTCTCATTCTATGTAGGTGATTCAGCATGAGGTGAGCCTCTGGAACCAGAGTTAGCATTGCCAAACCATTTCTGTCCCTCTGCAACCTTTAAAAAATCACCATACTGTCCCTCCTTAAGAGAGTTGTTGTTGATGTCTGAGATTCTTTTGGAGCAGCTCTGTCTAAGTGACCTATCATTCCGCAGTAGTGACAAAGATTCTAAAGCTTCTCATATTTGAATCCTACTTGAGCAGTTTGGTCACCTAATCTGATATTGGCCACGCGAAACTATTCCTCTAAGTTTAAGGTGACTAACAAATGAGGTATTTCCAGGTATTGAGAAGTCTGTACCGTTCACTTCGACCTATTCTCGCAAACCAGTTTTCAGAAAGCAGTCCCGCTATCAAAAAAGTGAAAAATAGAAACTCCTGCGTGGGAGTATTCTACAATGATCTCACCAACAATTTCTTCCTCAACTATCACCATCGTTTTTTAGATCTGGTAAAAACTCTTTTATCTTTTTGCACATGGTCTTTTTTCTTTCTAATCTCTCTCTCCAAAACTATATTAATTACTATAAATAAATTTTGTCCTTTTATATGATTTTCAACAAAATAATAATTTATGAATAAATTAATATGTATATAATTATTCAGGCGAAACAAGATTTTCTAATTCATGGTCCAATAAATTTTAGAGTTAAATTGTTAATTTCAATATACATAGTTCAAACATTATTTGTTATAAAAACTTATTTTATAAATAACAATTTAAAATGAAGTTGCATTCCAGTTTTCTATTAATTATTTTTTGGTGTTACTATTCAGCGCCCCCCATTACTACGTAACGCCCCCTCCCCCCTCCCTCCTTTTTTTTCAAAAACTAAAAAAAAAAACAAAAAGTTGCACGGTCAGCGGGCGATACCGACCGAACCGTGGTCGGTCGGGCGACGATTGCAACCGCGCACGGTGGCGATCGACCTACTTGGCCTGGTCGACCGCAATCACCGGTTGGCTTTGTTGGAGTAGAATACCCGGCGTTCCAATCTGATTGGATATATTTCTATTTATAAAGACAATTTATTGGAGATTATATTATTTTGAGGCATAACTTTATCTTATGTTTTTGTATTTATCCTATATTTATACATATGATAAAGTCCTTAGATCATTATTAGTTATGAGGCATGGTTACGCGTATGATGGCAATCATGGAACATGTCTTTTAAAGTTGTGATCTTAAATAAGTTCCAAGTCGATGGGTGATTCAAGACAGGACATCGAATAACCTGGTAAGGCTTGTGCATATGATGTATGCTCATCGGATGAGAATGTTGCATTCCATCAACATTAGCGTGTGGACGCGAATGCATATATGCGGGCGCTTGTTGGAGAACAAGTTCACTGAACATGACCAGATGAAAATTCTTAACTGGAAGTTTTAACTGTCGAATAAGAATTTTCATGTTGCAATAGTACATGACTAATCCTATGACTTGAGGCACAATAGTAATCTTGTGCATGTTGTGCTTTACTTTGATTTATCCTTTGATTGTTGGACAATCATAAAAGGGATATTTTGGGTACTGTATTAATATGTATGGAGGTTTATCTATGGCCAACAAAGAATTCGACACTTATATTGATAAGTGAATTTCCTATGTTTTTCATAGTTTCTGATTCAAAGACCTTGGCCAAGGCAGGATGAATATGGATTCATAAAGGAATCATTAAACTTGAAATGGAATCATAGTTATTAAATCAATTGGGTTTTGACTTATAAATCCATGCCCAAGATTTAATCGGGAAATTAGTTGTCGAAAGGATTTTACATGTATGCACTTGCAATTGAAAAGGTTTACTCGCTATTTCACTTAACACTAGATGATCATGCTACTTGCTAGATGTTACCATGATTTGTGGGTTCTTGAAATTAAGGAGTTAATTTAAAAAATATAATTTAATTAGATTAATTTAAATTACAAACGAGTTGTAAACCCACTACTAGTGTTAATTGTGAACCTAAAAGGGTCACACCAAATTTTGGATAATGACTATTTTGAAATTGGTATTTCCAAAAGTTAGATTAATTGACAAAATTTAATTAAATAATTTGATTATTTAATTAAATCTAATTTTGATTAGATGTCAATTAAAAGAATAAAATAAATTAATCAATTAGATTGATTAATTAGGCTTTGGATATTAATAAGTAATTATTGAAATTACTAAATTAATAGTTGGATTTTAAAATTAGATTTTAAAATTCAAATCCAAATAATAATATGATTATAGAAAGAGGAGATTTTATTATATTGTGAGATAAAGGTATTTTAACAAATAATATTGAAGATGTTTCATAAATTATTTGTTATTATTAATCTTTAATTTAGATTAAAGATTAAATATTAATAAAAATAAAATAATTATGGTAGATGGGAGTTGTTACCCACTCTACATATTTATTTTTATTTTTATTATTAATAAATTTGGGTAAGAATAGTCTTGCCAAGACTTCATTTTTATATGAAAATGGTTATACCCAACATTACATTTTTTATACATAAACGTTTAGTATAAATACATACATATGTGATGTATGAATGTAATGAATTGAAGTCTTGCACTTTGAGAAAGTGAAGAAAGAAAAATTATCTCTCCCATTCTTACAAGAATTGCTCTTGAATAAAATAAATACAAATATCCTCTTTTAAATTTCAATTCCAAATTTGAATACCGGAAAATTTCTACTAGCGAAGAAATTGTTCTCGGAGTCGGAATCCAAATGGGTGGACTCGATTAGAGGGGAGACACTTGGATCCCTTATGGTGAGACATAAGAGATGGTGATAGCCACATAACCGGGAATCGATTTCCTCTTCATCGTCGCTATTTGAAGAAAATTAAAGGCAATTTTTTAAATTCTCTACAAATCAAAATTCATATTTTTACGTGATTTTAAAAGATGCCGATCATTTTATTCGTTATATGTACTTACAAATTAAGTATTTATTTGATAAATGATAATTATATTGTATAATTTCTGCTGCGATTTTAATCCATACAATATAGTGAACCAACAGGCTTACCACGTGGTTGGCCGGCCAAATCGGCCGACCCCCACCGTGGGCGGCCGCAATAGCTGGCCTAATATGGGATACCACCCCTAAAAGAGTAAACTGGCCTAATGAGCCGGTCGAACAAACCGAACAAGACGCCTTGGTCGAGCAAGATCCGAGCAAGGTGGTCATGGTCGAACATCACAGGGATAAGAGCATCTGGATTGGAAGATAGCTTAGAAGAGATTCAGATATGGAGAGAGCAAGTCGATCCCAAACCCTGGTCGAGGATCGACCTGCAACACGAATGGTCGTGGTCGAACATCACAGGGATAAGTGCCTCTAGATTGGAAGATAACTTAGAAAGGATTCTGATATGGAGAGAGGAAGTCGATCCCAAACCCTTAGAGGGTTTGCTCGAAGATCGACCTGCGGCACGAATGGCCGTTTGATCGACCATTTCTTAGACTCGGAGCAGTTAGCGGATCGACCTAGATTTGGTCGAGCATTAGAGCCTTTGAGGAGATCTCAAAGGAATCAAATTATCCCCACGTACTGAGGACACGTGGCATGACCTGATTGGTCCATATCGTATAACCGTTTATGATGTTGGGATCTATGAGGATCTCGTTATGTACGAATCATGAATTCAACAGAAAACACAAACCTATGCGAGGCGGATCTAAGGGTTTGACGTAGAAAACTTATGGCTTAAAAATTTCAGAATCTGTCGGATTCGGGATGATCGGGAGCAGCACGTCACGAGGATGCCAGGATCATGGGGATCAGTCGGCATCGGTGTCGAGCTGCGAGGCGGAGGTCACCGGTGGTCGTCACGCGGGGCTGGCCGGTCACAGCGGTCTGTCCGGCGGCCTGGGGTCGGCGGATCTCGGCCTTCGGGTCGAGGTTCGTCGACTTCGGTAGATGATCACGATATCTCGGTTACCTTCGGGATCTTCGACTATATCACTCGCACACCTCTTCAACTTGTACCGATGGAGCAACAAGAAGAAGATAAAGCTCGAATGAGATCTAGAGAGAGGGGGACGGCGTCCATGATACACGTTTCTGTCTGATTGTTCTCTTCTCATGAGCTTAATGATGTATATATAAAGCTACAGTGGGGATCCTTAGGAGAATAGGAATAGGACTTTATAAGTAATGGACTAATTGTCATGCCCACTCCTCCAATTACTTAATTAATATTACAGTCCACTAATATAATATTATTGCACTCCTTTTTTCTATCCCAAATTACATTTAAGACTCCAATAATAATTACCGGAATTATCTCCCCATGTTTAAGATATAATGTCCATTAATTAATTTGATTATTGACAATCAAGAATTAATTAATATATTATATTACCAAGGACAGCGTTCGTTCATCACATTATTATTATGTCGGAATTTAATCCACCTGCAGGGTTTAGCATAACAATCCTTCATGAACTCACTTCGGGGACATTATCAAACTAACACACATGGTGACCGTAAATATCCTAACAGCACATCATACATACAACAATATTACCCAAGACAGTAGGAATATTAGTCCAACAAACTGAACCTCACCCAAGTGAATCAAAGTAACATATACTGTATGAGTGCATGTATATGTTTGTTTAATATCTTACGGGTTAAGAGAAGGCAGTAATTAACCGAGGCCTAGTTCGTTTACGACGATCACTATAAAACGAACTTCTTCTCTCTGGAATCCTGTTCAATACATAAATGTACTACTGCAACTAATCAATCAAGACCAAATGTACCGTTGACACTACAACCATTCCGATGGGGTGTTCATTTCCATCTAGGTTGTGAACCACAATTCTTGCTTCACAAGTAACTAATAGAATGATCTTCTGTTCACCCGATGATGACCCATTCTATCTAAGTGCAAAACAACAGAACATAGAACTTGTTTAATCGAACATGGTTCTCATTCATAAAGGGCAAAAGTGTAATATCATCCAAAGCCAAGCGTTTAGTATATAACTCTAACAAATATAATTTATATTTAAGAAATATTGCATATGATCGAATATATGGAAAATAATGATTAGGAAATATGAAAATTTCATTATGCTTTTGATTTCCTTATCTTTTGATTCATTTTTATGTTACATAAATGTTTAATTTTCACTTATATATATATACATATATATATATATATATATATTTCATAATCTATATAAATATAAAAAGTTTGGTATTTACCGAAAAAAAGTAACTAATTTCCCGCCTAAAGAATTCAATTTTACTTTTTTAGTAAATAATTTGGAAAAGCCCGCCATTTTTTGAAATTCAAAATGAAAAAGTCAAATTTATACATAAATTGTCAAATACTACAGTCAACTAGATTTTCTTTCAATTTCTAACATATATTGGGTCAAACATTGCGGCCGATTCTCATGGAAATATTGCTGCAATTTTCTTTCAATTTGCGGCGATTTTATTGGGTCACATATTGCGGCGATTTTCTCTCAATTTCTAACATATATTAGCCTCCGATATTTTGGCCCAATATAGCTTACAATACAACAGAAAGTCAATAAATCAATATAATTTATGTACATAATTTGGACTAATACAATAATAATTTTCAAAGATCTTCCAAACTTCCTTTGTCATTGTGCAATCAAATCTGCAACAATCATATTCATAAATTAAAATGGTCGGACAGTGTTAAATCAAATCGAGTTATTGTATATTACATATCCTAAATATCTACAGAATTTTAGAATTCATATATAGGCTGTTGACATCCGAGTTCACCTCAAAAGGAAACTGGACATGCGGCGACTCCCAAAAGCTGAACCAGCTCTCCCCCCAGCTCACAAGTGCCGAGCTGAATTCCGGTTTTGATTGACCCTGACACCCCCGTGGGTCCATTCATTAGACCGGCGTTCACGGCATCTAAGTACCGGTACCGGCCTGATGAGTGACGAGCTGGAGGAAGGCTCTCCGGGGCCGAAAGAGCAGAACGAAAGCAGGAGCCGACCTGAGGCCTCATAACGGACCCCTAATGACGAATGCCTGGCTCAATAATAATATAATAATGCCACTTGAAGAGCAATCATTGGTGATTGGATAGGGCGTCCTAGCCTGCAAGTCTACATCCACTAGCCAAGACATAAAGCCTGCCAGCATTAAATGACCCCCATGTGTGTATTAAATGCCTGTCAGGCAATGATGAGACGGACTGCTCTGCGACGACACTGTACGACAAGACCGGTGAACAGTACCTGAACAGTACCACATTAATGAGCATTATAAATAGCAACCCTCTCATTTATTTCTGGGTTGTTGAATTCCCAACTGTCTCTACTCTCTACATTTTCTCTCTTTAAACTTGTAAGGAATTTGTGTAAGAAATCTAAGTATATCGCAAGTGCCGACCTCGTACGAGAGGCCGACCTCGTGATCAGTTAATAAAGCCATAATTAAACCGTATTCCTTTGTCTTTTCTCTTTACTTTTTCGCTATTTATCTTTTTTACTGTTGACCGGAAATGCCCGTCAACAGTTTGGCGCTAGAAGAAGGGCACCATAAGTTACTTGGTGTCAATTTTTCGACTTCGTGGAACCCCACATCGTACCCATCTCTTTCTCATACCTTTCACTTCAAAAAAACTATTCAAAATGCCTTCATCTGACCACAATGAGTCAACCCAGCAGTCCAGCGCCCAGTCTCGCCGACGCAACGGCGGGGAGACCTCTCGTCGCGCTTAGCACGGGCCCATAGTCCCTGTCCCGCAAGTTCCCACCTTTGCTGCGGCCATGCAGCACCCCGACGTCCTCAAGGCCCTCGAGGGGGTCTTCGCAAAGGCTCTCGCCGATCAAGCGGCCGGGGGAAACACCGTGGCGCCCACGGAAAACCCCGGCAATACCCTGCTCCATACCCCTGAAAAGGAGGCCGGGGGGCAGAAGAACCCGACGAAATCCAAAACCACGGCCCAATCACCGAACCGTGAGGCACAGAATCGCCGCGACAAGAGCACCAGACCGGCTCCTACCGAGCAGACGGGGGAGAGCCGTCCGGAGCAAAGCCTCCAGGTCGTCCGTCGTTCCGTTCACCAGCGCCTAGGTGACAAAAGCCAAGCCAACCGTGATCTCCGGGAAGTCATCAGGCGGGGCAAGGCTATAGGGCGCGACACTGACGTAGTCGCGGCCCTAAAACGCAGAATCGCCGAACTGGAAGGCCGTCACCCCACCAGGAGCGAGCTGTCACTCCCCGCTTATCCGCAATCTTACGCACGACCGACTCCCCGAGTCGCTGACAATGCTTCACCCTTTTCCCCCGACATTCTACAGGAAGCCGTCCCGAAAAAGATAAAGGTGCCGCAGCTCGACCTCTACGACGGGAGTTCAGACCCTGATTCCCACATTGGCCTCTACACCTCGTGGATGGACCTGCACAGTGCCTCTAACGCCCTACGCTGTCGCATGAATTTCCAACTATTAACACAACTATAATCGCATGAACCCTTAGCCTATTTAATCTTTCAACATACTTGATAAAAGAAAGAGGATGTTCAGCCATATACTTCCTTCGGGATATCAAACGAACCGGCTGTAGGAAAACGTATAAAAGGGCCTGGCTCACTGCTACTAGGCTCGCTGCTACTACACTCACGACTCGAAACTTGGCTGCTCAAACGTTTAATAGGGTCGAAAAAATATGAAATCTGAAAGCCTCGGTTCCTTTCGACACTCGCGTATGGACACTGCTGGACTTGATTGAAGCCGATGAGGTGATGCCCGTTAACGGTGAAGGGCGGGACCTATTGCTCCATCGAACGCCACTCAAAGGAAGACGGGCCGCGAACATGGACTGACGGGCTGCTGGTCTAACACAAACGGCGGCTACTTGTCGTGAACCTGGGCTGCTATGCGAAGGCTGGGACTCCTCGGTCCTGCTCGAAGGTTGACGGAGGAGGGTGGTCTGGCCACGTGTCTGTTACTTAACCTTCGGCACGGCTCGACGACTTGCGATTGAACCAGGAACGGTCGCTGCTGCTCATTAGACCGCCGGCGAGGTGCTGCTGCGACCGAAAATTAAAAAAATCGGCGACGGCGGGACTCGATGGGTTCTGAAATTCAAACAGGGGATCGACTGGTTGTTGCAGCGTGCTCCTCGCGTGGACAGGATGTTCTCGAACGGCTTCTACTCGCCGTTCGGATTTGAGATGGTGCGATTTCAGGCCGCAGGGTCTTTCTCCGGCAGGGCGCGAAAAGTCGACCGGACTGAGCTGCCGCTGAAGGAAGGTTGCCGTAGCGTTTCACAGCAAGGGATGCTAAACGGCGATGGCGATGGTCAGAATTTCTGCTCGATTGTCGACGGACATGGTGGCATCTCGTGGGTCTGCTGCTATGGAACAAGAAAACCTCTTCCTCTCTCTGTTGTGATCGAATGAAGAGGGAAAGGAAAATTTCTGATTTTTCTGAAAGGTGCTATGCGACCGAAAAAAAATAGTTGAAGGAGGAGGTGTTTTATAAGATATTTTATGCTCTGAAATCTGAGAGTTTGCGGCGAGAATTTGGGGTTGATCGATTTTTGGGGAAAGGTTGATCGAGTCGCATGGCGTGAAAATCTGCTTTGAAATCTGTTGAGGAGAGGCGCCGATTGGGAAAAGAAATTAGGGCGAGAGGATGATGATTCATTTAGGCTAAGAAATTAAGTTCAACTTTGGGCCGAAAATAATATCATTTGGGCCAAGCTTTGGCAAATTGGGTTGACAAGTCCTCAAAATAACAGTTGGGCCGAGAATAAAAGAGCTTTCTAAGAGGGCCGATTAAAATTAAGGTTTATGGCCGGATATAAGATACCAACGGGCTAAAAATAATATCTCAAGGTTCGAGGTTCGGGTCGAAACGGCTCAGAAACGAGTTAACACGGATAAAGGTTCAGTTAACGTGATTAAACCGAAAATTGCAGAAAATTTAAAATTTATATCAAAAAAATCCTAAATAATTCTAATACACATAATTAATATATACATAACAATTTATATCAATTAGACAAATAAGACGAGCAATTTATATCACAACCGAAAATTAAATTAAATAAGGCAAATAATAATAATATAAGAATTCAAAAATTCTAATAAACGAATGGCTTAGATTCGAATTTCGCGATTAAACCGAAATCGCCGAACGACGAACGTTTTACAATAAAACGATCGAGTACTTCAACATAGAATTTAAGTCGACATCGCGACTAATACAATAAATACAATCTTATAAATAAAATTCGATAAATAGAATAATCCAAGAAATTCTATAAATCGAATGGGGCGCTACAAGTATACTCCCTCTTCAATGCATAAGTGCTACTTAGCACTTGGTTCATTATTTTTGAAATTTTTGCCCACAAAGAATTGAACACAGGGCCTTGGTGTATGTCTGCCTTCTCACGGCACTTTACGAAAAACAATCGGTAGCAAATATCTTCCTCTTCCTCTGTCCAGTCCACGCCACGGAAGCGGATCGCGATCTTTTCATAGGGTGAAATCTTTTCCATTTTTCTTTTCGCAAATGTGCGCTTCCTTGGTTTTCTTTATTTTATTTTTTTGGCTGCGATCGAAAGCTAGGGTTTTGAGAAGTGAAAGGTTAATTATTCAACAAAGAGAATGAAAGTTTAACATTTACAGATAGCATTTAAAGGTAGGTAGATATACATTAACTTGACAACTAAATGAGGAAGCATGCAAATCGTCACTGTTTTTTACGTGTAAAAGCAGACTATCAATCAATGCGGTGCATAACCTATGCGAATCACTTTCGATTTGGATATGCGGTGCAGACAATCAATCAATGCGGTCCATATGGATATGAGAAAAAATGGCGGATAGTCGTAAATTATGCGGTTTTAGATTTGGATATACGATTTGTTAATTATGCGGTTGAAGACTAGGCGAATGAACCTGCGAATCAACCCAGTTGTGCGATTGTTATGGGACATAATATGGGAATCACACAATCAACCCAATTGTGCGATTATTATGGGACATGTTATGCGAATCGCGCAATCAACCCAGTTTCACTACTTTCTGTTAGCCAATCGTGTGCAGGTCACAACTTAGGGTACCAACACAGTATTTTTCCCGTTAAAAGTATTTTTTTTTCCGTTAATTAAAAACTCCAATGAGGTACATAACATTACATAACGTCTCCATCTTCATCAAAATTGTGATGGAATGGACGTGATGGACAAGATGACGATTTGTGACCTATTTCTTTACAAGTACGACATCTCCTCGGGCGTCTCGATGTTGTTCTTAGATGAGGAGTTTGTGCATTTTGACCTTCTTCATTTGAAAAAAAGTCATTATCACCATCGTATAGAGGGCACTTCGCCCTGTTATGCCCGGTGACCCCGCACCGAGAGCACATCTGTTGACGCCGTACTCGACGTGATGATCCTTCTCCGGCAGAATAACATTGAGTTCGTGGCCGACCTGCTTGTTTGAGATCATTTGGCGGAATTACCTTTATACGCATAATTTCCGGGGGCAAGTGTCATTCATCTGGATGCGGGACCGGGTTAATGGTGCTTTGGTACATCTTTGCAACTGAGTAAGGTTTGTAATGGTCGTTAACGACATCCATTATATCTAACCCGACTTCCCTGTATACATATCATAAATTTGCACATCATATTAGAATATAACAATTTTTTATTTTTTTTTTAAAAAGAAAAAAATGATAATTGATATGGGATATTATATAGCTGAGGAATAGACCGGTTTGCATCATCGGTCGAGCAACCTCGAAGTGGAGAAAACCGGATTGGGGGAAGGATGATCGACCAAAAGGGAGGAGATCGAGCAGAATAGCGGTACCGGTCGAGGATCGACCAAAAGGGAGGAGATCGAGCAGAGTAGCAGAATTGGTCGAGGATCGACCAGAGGGAAGGAGATCGAACAGAATAACAGAACTGATCGAGGATCGACCAAAAGGGAGGAGATCAAGCACTCAACAGGTGAAGAGCAGTCTAGAGCGTGGCTTGAACGCGAGAAAGCGCGTGGATGACGTTAGAAGATCCCAACGGTCTGCGCAGAAGAATAATCTTCCTCAGCTCAGAGGGACACGTGGCGAGAATATATTAGTGCAGAGTGATAGTGGCGAAAACCACCCCTGACATCTCTGACACACACACACTATGTGTGTACGGACGGGCAGTACGGGCAGGACAGCTCACCAAAAGCTGGGCAGTTTCTAGGGCAGGTATCTCACTCTAATATATATGGGAGTGGGTCTTTTCTTGTAACCTACGATTAATCCATTCTTTACTTTGGAAAATTGAACAAACACATACTGACTTAAGCATCGGAGGCTCTTCACCGGAAAACCCCTCCGGTGTGAGAGTTCTGTGTAGGAACGCGGCGTTCTACTGGCAAGGAAGAAGGAGGCAAGCTGATTTCAAGCCGGTCGGAGTGTTTTGCGTTACCATTTGCCGCCGTCTGTGGGACTTTCGTTCGAAAAGTGGTGTGCTGAGATTTTCGAAGCTCGGTGGCTATGGCGGACGGAATTCCTAGGAGAGATTTACAAGCATCGTTCGACGATGCGTGGACGATGACGAGGCCGTTTGGAGAAGGCCCTCCTCCGGGCTTCTTCGGACCCTTGCTTACACCGGTGACTCCGATGCCCGTTCCCCAAGGTGTAGGAGTCACGCCGGTGCAACCAGAGGCTGATGTGGGCTCAAGCCGGGCCTAAGAGATTCGTACAGCTCAAGGAGCAGCGACCCCAACGCCGCTGCAACCAGATCTGGCCGTGACGCTGCAGCAAGGAGTGGCGGTGCAAAGAGCAGTACCACCGCCAGTGGAGGAGCCGCGCCCCGGTCAGCAGGTGGTGATGACCAGGCAGGAGATGCAGCAAATGGTGGCGAACGCGACGGCACAAGCGGTTCAGCAGGTCACTCAAAGCCTTTCGCGAGTGGCTGCTGGGCCAACGATGGTGGATGAGGACGTGTCTAGCTATGGAGGAGATGGAGCCCCGCGAGATCGTGAGGTGGAGAGGCTCGCGGAGCAAGTGAGCAGATGCAGGCTAAGATGGATGGTCGACCTGAAAGGCGTGCTCGAGGACATCCGTTCTCGAGAGATATATTGGCTGCATCGCTACCTGCGAATTTTAGAGACATGAGTTTGATGTTCGACGGGACCACTGACCCGTCGAGGCATGTAAGGGCGTTTGAGAATTTGGCTGTGTTACATGGTTATTCTGATTCTGTTAGTTGCAGGGCATTCTTGTCGACCTTGAGGAGAGGTGCGCTCGATTGGTTTCAGCAGCTCCCTCATGGATCGATCAAGGACTTTGACGATTTCGCGGAAAAGCTGATGACCCAATATGCGAGTGCGGTGGCGTAGGAGAAAACCTATTTGACGTTGATGGCCATGAGGCAAGGGGAGAAAGAATCGTTGCGCAAATATGTTGCGCGATACAACCAAACTTGTTTGGAGATCCCCACGGCCTCGGACGAGGTGAAGGCTGGGGGGTTGATACGGAGTTTGCGAGCAGGGCCCTGTCGAACATCTTTAGCCAAAACTCTTGCTCGTACGTATGATGATGTGCTGAAAAGGTGTAAGAAGTATATTAACTTGGAAGTGACGGAGGCGGAGTTCGCTAAGTTGGAGGAGTTGGCCAGGCCAGAGCCGAAGAAAGGAAGGGCGAGCTCACCTCGAAAGGCGTCACCAAGTAGGAGATCGCCCAGGAGAGAGGGGCGTGACAGGGTTGATCGGGGGCGAGAGGACCGGTGGAAAGATCGACCAGTGTTTGGGGGGAAGCGGTTCCATAACTTTACGCCCCTTAATGCGAAGATGGGGGAGGTGCTGGTGGCTATTGAGAAGAAGATCGAGAATAAGGACGTGACGTGGCCGAAGTCTAGGCGTGAGGGCCTAACGCAACCTAGGTCGGAGAAGTATTGTCATTTTCATAAGGATTATGGGCATACAACGGAGAAGTGTAGGCACCTCAAGGATGAGATCGAGCGCCTTATTAGGGCAGGATATCTTAGGGAGTTCGTATATGAAGACAAGGCGAAGGGGAAGGGCAAAGAAAAGTGCCGGGAGGATTCAGTGGAGCGGAGTGATCGAGATGATGATGAGGAGGACGATCCTCGAGGAGGGAGAGATGATCGAGGAGGCAAAAGGAGGCGAGGAAGTCAAGATCGAGGGTAGGAGGATCATGGACCAGTGAAGAGAGGGACGATTTATATGATCTCGGGGGACCCGACTAACGGAGACTCGAACAATGCCAGGAAGGGCCATGTTCGAGCGATGAAGAGAAAGAGAGAGGAGGTGGGGATCACTGCTCGGATGCCGGAGATAAGTTTCCGAGCAAAGGATGCAGAGGGAGTGGTGTTACCCCACAATGACGCATTGGTGATAACAACGGAGGTCGCGGGCTTTGATGTAAA